CATTGATATTTCACTCATTGGATATGTGAACTGATATTTCAGATATGTGAACTTCTAATACTATAAGACACTGACGGTGTCCACCATGTCTCTCTACAGTTGTGGAGAGGTTGTAAGTTAATGAAAGCGTGAGCCCCACCAAAGGTGAACAGAGGGACTGAGATAAAAGAGAGGGAAGAGGAGGAGAGGAGGGATTGCAGCACTGGGTGAGTGCGAGACAGACAATGAAGGCTGAGAGAACAAGGCAGAGAGGGGGTGACAGGACTGCTTAAAAGAAATTAATTTGCTCTTTTTCTGAACTGCTGGAGAGAGGAAGGGGGTGGTTGGAGTGGTTGTGAGAGAGAAAGAGTGAGATATGGAGTAGAAAGTTGACTTAAATGGTGACATGGCTGGCGTGTGTGTGTGAATGTGTTTGGTGGGGGGTTATTTCCCCGTAGATCTCATTAAAGGCTTCTACTCCCCCTGCACATGGCCTGCAGAAAAAGGCCAGAGGGACAAAGATAGAGAGAGCTACAGTGACTCTTATTTCTGCATAGATAATTGACAGAGCTGTTACAGAAAGATTTAGAGAGAGGGAAGGAGGAGGAGGAATAAGATAGAGATAGGCAGGGGAAGATAAAGAGCAGCATGGACAGAGTGAGTGGGCGTACGTGAGTGGGAAAGTGTGATCACAGCTTTAGGAGGCAAGACTGAATTTTTGGTCTGCATAATGATAAAACCACAAGAGAAACAGAAGGGCTTAAAGCTGCGTTTAGATTTTAATGTAAAACTGAAAAGTTATATAAAAGCTGTGACATATAGTGGGCTTATATGTGATTATAGTATCCCGGTTATGATTGGGCTTTTGCTGGATCCTGGTTATGTTGTGCCCACAGTGGTGGAGGAAATATTCAGATTCTTTACTTTAGTAAAAGTCGCAATAATTGTACTTAAGTAAAAAGTATGAAAGTATTGTAAGCTATGTGTACTTAAAGTATTAAAAATGAAAGTACTCGTTATGTTGAAAAATGGCCACTGTGAGTGTCATATTATTACTGATACATAAATGCGTAAGTAGTATTTTACTGTTGTAGTTGGTTAAGGTGTAGGTAATTGTAATTACTTTATATACTACTACTCTACTCTTTGATAGTTTAACCTATAACAATACATGTTATATTTAATAAACTTGATTGTATTTTGCAAATGACAATATGCACAATAACTAGTAACTGACAGATAAAAGTGCAATATTTCCCTCTGCAATGTTGTCAACACTCAACACTGTACTTAAGTAGAGTATTTGAGTAAATATATTTAGTTACAATCCACCACTGGAAGTTGGGGCATGTAAATGCAGGTGCATGATCAGCTCAAATTAGTAGTAGTTTGTCAGTAAAACAAAAATATAATGGTACTATGAAACAAAGCTGATATAAACAAGCTGAAATGAAAATGTCTGACTTAGATAATGCAGAGCAAAAATTGTATTGTCACTCTTTTTCCATTACAAATGATCAGATGGAGAAGCTGAATCCCTGCAGAGTGGTAAATACAGCAGAGTTCTGACAGCCAGAAACCAAATTGTGTTCAAGCTCAGAAATGAGTGGCTGAGATTTTGAGGACACAAATGCACACAAACGATTAGAAACCTGGATACTGTTATAATCAAGTAAACAGGGACAAGACATTTCTCTAATTCAAACTGTAGCAAATAAGGATTAATGCTTTGCTTTAATCCTGGTTCATCCTACATTGACGAATGCTTGTTAGATGAAAATATATAAATTGTGGAAAGTACATTTTCCCAAGTACTGTACTTGAGTCCAATTTATTTTTTAGTATTTTCATGTTTTTCCTTCAATGCTTTCTTCACTACATTTATGTGACAGCTTTTCAGATTAAGATTTTACATTAAACAATGCATTTACCTTTTGGGCTTGTGACCCCTTACATAAAAGTAGATCTGTCTGGGCCCCTTGTCAACTGTCCCTTTCAACAGCTTGAGGCCCAAAGAGATACTAATATCCAATAATTTACATTAAAGCAACAGATTTGTATCAGAACTTTATCAGAAGTTTTTTCTTCTTTTCGGCCCCTTTATTCATCTTACGACCCCTTCAGATTTATTTTATGTCCCCCCCCCTGAAGAGACCCAACTTTTAGTTTAGGATCCACTGCACTAATCTACCAAAACTGTATATAAAGTAATTAAAACTAACTACACCTTGACCAGCTACAACAGTAAAATGCATCAGTATTGACAATCTAATACTGTCAGAGAATCATTTTTATCTGACTAGGATTTTAATTTTGCACTTATCTAGGTAATGGAGTATACTTTTACATTGTTTTGATGGTACTTTTACTTAAGTAAAGGATTGGAGTACTTCTTCTACTACTTAAATATATCCTAGCACTTGGTATTGTAAGTGTTTTGTAATTTAGACAGTGAGCACTGATTAGCCAGAACACTAGCATTAGAAAAAGCATAGATTGGAAGGAAATAAACATCTCAGCAATTATGTTTTTATATTTTGACACTGAAACATCATTGTCGTTGCAAAGCCTATAAAGTCTCATTAATTTGCACAAAGCTCATAGACCACTAGAGGGCGCCACAAAACAGTAATTTACAAGTGAACCAAATGTAACAAATTGGCTGTCTGTGACTATATAGCCATGGTTTTAATAAAGCATAGTGTACAGGCTTTACTATTGTATTTCTAACAGTACAAAAATCAGTAATATAGGTTGGATCTGTGGGAAAACTGCTCACAGGACCAAATATGTGATGAGCCCTAATTGGTTGACCGGTTAGAAGCTGGAGGATCAATCACATTCCTGGAGGTATACAGATCAATAAGCAGCCTCAGTAAAATCTTCAACTATTTGACGCTTATTAGGCCAAAAATAAAATTATTACACACATTTGAATCACCATTATTTTATAATAATTATCACTGTTTTATAATTGTTCACTTTGACTGTGGGGATATCCCTCCTGCATAACTGAATCCTTAACCAGCTGTGATTGTGATTCATTTTAGAGTGTGTTTGCTTGCATCCTTTATTGAAACTGTAAGTGCAGTGTGTAGGCTTGTGAGTGCATCTGTGTGTGTCTGTGTGTCTCTGTGTGTGAAACCTAATCTAATACAAACAGACACACCTTTTCATCCTCTTTCACTCTCATACTCAGTCTTAGACATTCCCCTCCCATTTTCTCTGCTCTCTTTCGCCACGCTTCTCTGACACTCACGCGCACACATAAAAAAAAGATGCACAATAATGCACATCCTCACACACATGCACACCCTCCTGGTACCCATCTCCTAGGGAACACAGGGATGTCTCTATAGCAACAAGCAGCTTGCTCCACTAATGAACCGGTTGCTGTGGTGACCGGGTTGGCTGTGTGCGAATGGAGACACTGGATAAAATAGAGGGAGAAAATGTTATGTTACTCCTCTGCACAAAACCCCCGTGCAGGGTTTTATCTCTTTCTCTGTAGGGCGCGCACACACACAGAAAACACACACAGAAACGTGTGCCTATGTGTGAAGAGATTAAGATGAGTAACAATGACTGAGCGAATGTTCTGGGTTAGAGGAAGTGTTGGTTTGAGACAAAAGCCCATGCAGTAATGCAGCAAGAGGCAGGGATCTTTGCAGCTGGCTGTACTCTGCATGGGCCAGTCATCCTGCTGCTGCCTCAAGGTCAGAGAACAACCCAACTCCACTCTGGGCAAGGAGGGAGGGAGGGAGGGAGGGAGTGAGAGAGAGAGAGAGAGAGAGAGAGAGAGAGAGAGAGAGAGAGAGAGAGAGAGAGAGAGAGAGAGAGAGAGCAGCGCCAAAAACCTTCTGTCAGCCATCTGTGTAGTGAGTTACGCTCCACTTTGCTGACTGTGCCCCTGAGCCATTATGCATTTGCCCATTCACGACCTCACCTCACCGGAGACACTTAAAGCTGCACCAAACTGCTATTCATATACAGTCTGCTAACAGAGGCCACTGGGAATCATCCACTTTACTCTGGCGACGTCTCCCCCTACTGGTTCAGAGGAAGAACATTGTCAGTGTGCTGCAGTCACTCAGGTTAGAGCACCTACTGCCACAGGATTGTCTACCAGAGGACCAAAGATAAACATTAGGACTCACAAGATGATTCACGGGACAGGAAATAAGCAAAATATTGCTCGCTCTCTCTCTCTGCTACACAAAATGTATAGTATTAATTTCCCTGACTTCTATTCTACCAATTATTCAATTGAAATCAGTGGTGGAAGAAGTACTCAGATTACAGCAATCTAAAAATACTAAAGTAAATGTACAAATGTGTGATCAGCTAAAATAAAAGTACTGGTTTTGCAGAAAGATGACCCCTGTGAATAATATAATATCCATCCAGCCATCCATCGTGAACCGCTTATCCTGCATACAGGGTCGCAGGGACTAATATAATAAACTAATATACGATGTTTTGGTTTCTTAATACTGATGCATCAATGCATGGCATGTTGCCATTGTAGCTGGTTGAGGTGGAGCTACTTTTGGGTACTACATGCAGCTAGGTATTTTAGTCTAGTGGTTTCCAACCTAGGGTCGGGCCCCATCCAAAGGATCACAAGATAAATAGTTTGCAGATTGCATCCCAAGGTACTCAGGCAGGGCTTAGTTTAAAAGTTTAAACTTTAAAAATTGTGCCTTTTCCACAATATATGTTGAAAACAAGATTAATTTGGGCTGTTCTGTTTTATAGTGATGTGGTTCCTATAGACTATTTCTTGGTTTCAAGTTCAAGCTTGGTCAAGTTGTTTCTGTCATGACCTCCAGTGTCTAGATTGATGTATAACAAATCTAGCTGTATCTTTCATCATCTGTAATGTCAGTTCTCAAAGCTCAGTTTTATTGACGTGCTTTTAATGTTAAAAGTTTTTAATATTCCTCACATGGTAAGATGTTTATTAATAGAGTTCCCCAATGAATCAATGATCAGTTGATCTACTTCTGTCTCTCCTGCAGAAATGTTTGCGGTTTAACCCAGATGCCACAGTGTGGAAGGCCAAGCAGCAGGTGCTGTGCTCCCTGACCGAATCTCTGCGGGACGTCCTGAACTATGGTCTGTTCCAGCCCGCCACGGACGGCCATGATGCCAAGTTCCTGGAAGAGGAGAGGCTGCTCAGAGAGTACCCACAGTCCTTTGAGAAAGGGGTACCATATTTGGAGGTACGATTCCACTCTTCCTTTGACACAGTTGTGTATAGTTGTAATACACAGTACTACCCAGTAGAGATGTAATGTAGCCTGCATATCCTCAAGATGTCACTGTAATTCAATAATGCAATGGTCAAAAACCAAATCTCATGTGATGGCTTCCTCTTGTTTTACAAAGGAGACCAAGATTAACGGAAACATTTTGTATTGTGTGTCCAGAATCCAGATCCCAGATGACTGAACAGCAGCAGTTCAAGGCAGTTTAGAATACATCTACCGCAAATGTTTCTTGTCTTGATTAAGTTAAACCTGGTCTGAAAAAAAACTGGTTTATGAGTTTCATACACATTTCTAAGATGAGTGTCACAGCTTCAGTGCACTGTTTAATGCAATACCCGCTAATCGCTTAACCAGTCTGTACGGTCGCCTTCTTTTCATGCTATATTATGACCCAGTGGAGGCTCTAAACCGTCTTTAAACTACTGTAAAGCCAGACCAATTCTTTCACAATTCATGTCATCAGTGAAGTAGAAGAGGAGGTTTGTATAGAAAACCAGATAAAGCTTCCCTGTAAAATAAATCTGCAGGGACCATTTTGTGGATCTAGGCCAAAAGCTAAGAGAATTAAGGACAAACGCCCTCTGTGTTAAGATTAACTCTTCATTTCCTTTCTCTTTTTGTCTCCCGGGTTTAGTTTCGATACAAGACCAGGGTGTACAAACAGACCAATCTTGATGAGAAGCAACTGGCCAAACTGCACACTAAGGTATGAAACCCATTAGTGCTGAAGTTGGATCGCTGAAGCGTTTCAGCAAAAAATAGACATTGTACAGCTGCTGGTTTTAGATGTGTGTTTTAAATGTGTGTTTTACAGACAATAAAGTTATATATATCTATCTGCATGTTCCAGTAATATAAATTTACCTCAAATCAAATCAATACTGTACAGTATGTATACCAATGTAAGTGTATACATGAGTGTATTTCACTGGGCTGTACTGTTCTGTACTGCACTGTATTGGACTGTAGTTTGCTGTTTTATACTGTACTGTCCTTTACTTGCGCATACATAATTTCTAAGGCAGGAGGAGTTGTTTCTGTTGTCTATAATACAGTAACACTTTTCTCTCTGGATGCAGGCCAGCCTGAAGAAATTCATGGATTATATCCAAACCAGCGCTGTGGACAAGATGATCAAGTTCTTAGACAAAGGCCTTGATCCCAACTTCCAGGACTCTGACACCGGCGGTAAGGAATACCAAAGAGCCTCCCCACTGTCATTTAGCATATCACAGAGCTGAAGAAGAAGCTTCACGAAAAGGTCTTGCAATACAACAACATAGTGGAAGGAGATCAGATTGATGAAGAGTTTTCCTCAGCTCCATTCGCTTCATCCACCGAGAGATCTTTCTGTCAATCAATCAACACATTACACATGTACTGCAGTTATTTGAAAGAGTAATTTACAAAGTTCTTCAAGAATGGCAAAAATTACTTACTGTCTCTATATAGCATGTTTAGCATCAGTGCAATGTTTTTGGGCTTGTTTCACCAAAGAACAGCAGCCATCTTTACAAAATTCTTGATTACCCTGAGTCCTGACTCGAGACTTTTGAACAGCCACAAAGTTCCTTGTTACTTAACTGTGGCTCTTAAGGAGTTAAGAGGTAAGAGCCCTTTAAAAAATAAAGTAAAAGCTTAAAATCAATTATAGAAGTGACAGTTAATCAGAGTTAGGGATGTTTGGACCAGAGTGATATACTATAATTCCAGCTGTTTGCTTCAGTTTTAATTCTTGCAGCTGCTTTTTGTACATGACGAGGATGAATAAGAAATTACATTTATTCATTTAGCCAAAGTGACTTATAATTGCTATACATGTCAGAGGTCGCACGCCTCTGGAGCATTTAGGGGTTAAGTGTCCACTGCGCCATCACCAGACAAAGTTAATGAGGTGCATTGATGACATAGAATACTAAATGACAAAAAGGTTTAAATTCTAAAGATGGGTTCTCAGTTACAGGAATCAGGACTGCAAAATTTGGTTTACTTACTAACAGATTTACTATCTCACAGATTGTTTAAAGTTAACAAATAAGATGTTGTGCTTTTAGGAACAATATACAGAATTGTCTTTAAGACCCCTGTGAAAATAGAAGTACAATTATTCAAAAAAATAGGTTTGAAGTTAAGGGTTTTCACTTCATTCAGCTCATTTCATCCATCCATCCATAATGGATGTACATTTGTTGCGAGGAAGATATATTACTATGATTACTGTAGACCAGGGCTATTCAATTACAGATTCGATTGGGCTGGATTTTAAAACCAGGACACAGAGATGGGCCAGACATTGGACATGTTGGACATGGGCCATCTCTCCTCCTCCCTCTGCTGCTGCTGCTGGTAGTCTGTCTCAGCCACCAGCTGAGTATAATGTGCCATATTTTAATGTAGGCCTACGTGGCAAACTAGGCTAAACAGTCACTAAAGACAGAGCTGTGCCTGTATAAAACCAAAACACAGCTGCCGTGGATGAGAGACTGAGCGGGTTAAAACAGAGCATTTTGCGTGTTCATGCTTATTAAACAGGTGTGTTGGTAAAGTAATGGCGTTTTACTCGCTACGTTGTTATTGCACCATGTACTTATGCTAACGAGAGTAGTTGTAGTCAATGTCCGCTGATCGGCTGGCTGACTTCGATCTGTGTGTGGAGGCGCTCTGCAGACACAGAGGATCGGAGAGGCAGTTATGTCTTGATTGGCGGTGATCGGTACAGCGCATGTGAAACTCAACAAAGATGAGAAGGAAAAGATATAGCTCACTCTTTAGCTACTTCTATACAATATACATGTAGGCCTAGTTTACTTTTGTTTTCATATTAGAATATGTGCTGGGCCACATGGAGGTTGCTTTGGGGCCAGATGTGGCCCGCGGGCCGCCAATTCAGTAGGGCCGCTGTAGACTTTTCGTTCATAGGGGGGTTCAAGGTCTGTGTTGCAGGGACACTGGTCCCTGTTGGCTTCCCCCCAAAACCGCCACAGCATCCATTAGATCCATCCATACTCTACATACATCTACACACCCACATATGATCAAATCTCTTCTTTCATCTGTCTCTCTCTATTTATGCCTGTCCATCAAACATTCAAACATGTATTTGATATTCAACACCCCTAAGCGGGTTAACCATCTCCTCTCTGCTAGATTAGCAAGCCGGTAGCCAGAAGCTTTGTGACCTGTAGATCTGCTGCATAAACTCAACCTTTGAACTCTCTGCAAATAACAAACCTCCTCCATCCGTTTTCTGTCCTCAGCTCTGCAGTATGTTGGCCTAACACTTTGTCAAGGATCTGAGCCAGCGCTGTTCACAATTTGGTGGCTTTTCTCAGATCCTGTTAGTGCTTAGGGAGCACAGCAGACGGCTCATTTACAGTTTGGGTGTGCTGCTCTGTGTCACTCCAGCCGCTCTGGGAGCAAGTGTCAAAACACAAAACACAGCCTGTCATCAAGAGTGTGAAACACACTTCTACTTTATAACACCGGGGGGCAACAGAGAGCCCTGGTGAACCCACCTCACCAGCACAATCCACTCACATTGAACGGGAAAGACTGTGCGTGGCATATACACCTTACTGAAAATTATACTTCCAGTTATTGCTACTTTGGACATCAGGTTTTGATGGTGGGTCCTGTTTTGTGTGCTTAAGAGTCAAGGGTAGTGATCCTTTTTAAATTTGGATAGCATAATTAATTAATTTGACAATATTAATTATATTGATGCAACAAACTTGCAACAAAACAGCTTAGGTTTGCTGTAAAGCCCACAAAATCTATTAAAAAAGCTGTTAAGGATAATCCGTAATCTACAGAAAATAGAAAAAACAATGAGTTCAAATGATTTCCTCTTCTTTCTTGACTGTGAGGTAATGTCAAGGTGTTCCTACAGTCAATCCATGAACTATTAGGTCCTAGGTGTTAGGTCTTTGTAGAGCAAAGAGGCGATCAAAAGGTTCTGGGATGCAGATATTCCCAACTCTTTTTACATTTGACCTGCCTGTCTCTCTGAAACCCTTCATGCTTTCCCACCCAGCAGATGGTTCACACTGAGTGCCTTTAATAGGACATAAAACAATTCTACCATATTCAATGAGGCTCCTGTCAGTAGGGGCTCACTTCCATATATGCCAAGGAAAGCTTAATGGGCATTCCCTAAGTCGTCCTGACATGGGAACTTCAGGGGAGGTGTAGTCAAAACATTCCCTCAAATTATTTGTACCTGATATCTACAGAAGGAGTTTGAAGATAAAAGCCCTCAGTCATTTGCCTCTTTGCCAAAAACTCTTGTCGCCATGGCAGCCAATGCTCTGTACCCTGTTTTTACTAGGAACACTTCAAATGCTTTTATTCTTCTAGATGCCATTGAACTTTCCTGCTGAAGAAGTTCAAGTGTGTTAAGTGAGGTTAAAAGGGTTTTGACACAGCGTAGCTTTTATTATGAAATACTTTTAGTGAGCTTCTTTGTTGCTTTATTTGATATCAGTGTAATTGGCAAATTATCGGTGCATTTGTAGGAAAAACAGCAAAGGTTGCGTTGCTGCCTGTAGGATGAAACCAGTCCTGGGAGGTAAATCTCCAGAGATGTTTTTATTTTGCCTGACATTTAGCATAGGTGAATTTGAAGATTTGCAGGAACCTTTACAGTTGTTTGAGTTGTCTCTGGGTGTGCGTTTTGGAATAAAACATGATTTAAGAATGACTGTGAATGTCAGAAACTGTACCTGAAAATCCCCTTTACATGTGAAACTGGCCTAAAACTCTAAAACTGGGATTGCCAACTTTATTACTTTCTTGCTAGATTTAGCAACTTTTAATACCGAGCTAGCTTTTGGGACTTCTTGGACTTTCTGTTGAAGAAAATCTCAGTGAATGCGCTCTCATGAGGCTGTGGCTCTGTAGAGAAAAGCTGCAGTACAGTTAGTCAACCAATCATCAGCAACACAGAAACATGAATGAGCTATGAATGTGTGCCTATTAAGGACCAGTCACTGATCCCTATATTGTCCAGGGAACTCCTTCTCTTTTAATTCTAAATGATTGAACTGACTATTAAAATTACAATGGGGAACATGGTAAACCTAACCTGATTAGTAATACAGCTGCATGTTGGCATTGTCATCGTGAGCATGTTAGCATGGCGACATTTGCATTTAGCTCAAAGCACCATTGTTATGCCTAAGTATAGTCAACGAGCAGCTAGCATGACTGAAGACTCGACTTGTTTATTTCATATTTAAAAATGTGGAGTTTGTGGAAGCAAAGCATTTTTTAATTTGATCAAACAAAAATCTATTCTGTGCTCAATAAAGGTATTTGCACGTTTGCTATTATCCATGTTAACGAACAATAATAACCCCTTTCACTCAGTTTTACTCATATGCCCGCTATTTTTCTGTGATCCAGTTCTCCCATTGCTCGCTCAGGAATGAGGCAAAAATAAAATTCGCAAAAAAGCATAGCAAGAAGAAGACTGCAAGGTAGAAAACACTTACTCATTGGCTTATTGATTGCAGCAGTGGAGCTTTAGGCTAAAAGCAAATGTCGCCATGCTAACATGCTCACAATGTACGATTTAAAATTTTTTTAAATCAACTTTGCCCATGTTTTATGAGGAAAGAAATGTTTTCAGCATTTTTGTTAGACCTCAAGGACACACAGAATGCATTTTGTTAAGAGACACTGAATGTAAACATAATCCACAGGGTATCGTTAACAAAGTAAGCTGCAACTTTGCAGCAAGGGGAAATAGCTGTTGTTCAAAAATATTACCTCAAAGCAAGGACAGAAGAGTTTAAACGTAAATTTATTGTTGAAACAGCTTTCCCACTGAGTGTTCAAGCAGCCCCCTAGGAGCAAACAATCTGGCCACAGTGCCCCAGATAATTAGAGTTTCAGACCCCTGCTCTAGGACAGACCATCTGACCATTAAAAACTTTATTTGAATCTCCGTGTGTGTGTCTGCCAGAGACTCCTCTGTCCCTGGCGGTGCAGTGTGAGCCGGGTGGAGGTGAGCCCATCCGGGTCCTGGTGGAGGGAGGGGCTCATATTGATTTCCGCGCCAAAGATGGACTCACATCGATACACAAGGCTGTTCGAGGCCACCGCCATACAGCCCTGCTGGTAAACATTCACACATGTTGTTGTCCTTTTATAGAACTGCTGTTATCTAATCATAACAAGTAATGAGTTTTCATTGTCATGCCATAAAAGGAGAAAATCGAACCAGCACCAGAGTATGTATCTGCACTGGATACTTGCACTGAAACTGATGCAGTGCTATCTTTATTTGTGTTACTGTATACGCAGACAAGCTGAAGACAGAATAAACAGACCCTCCCACTCAGCAATCCACACACATAAAGCACATGAACAATAAAAAAACCCAGTATTCTATTCAACCAGAGAGAAAAAAAACATTAAAATTCAGATTGCCTAGTTTAAAGGTATGTAGCACATTTACATTTTAGGCGTTTGTCCAGAATTTCAGCTCCCAAATCAGCAAGAAGTCACGTACCTGTAAAAGAAGAAAGTCATTCAAGGGGAGATAATTGCATGTATTACATTGCCATAGTCCATGTTTTCCAAAAAGGAAAGAAACAGCTGCTAAACTCCATTAAGATTTACTGCAGACTCTGTTTGAATACATAATGCTCTCTAGTCTGAGGTGTTGCATGACCTCTCTGAAACCCGGCTATGTGTTCCCCTTACGATTTAAAATTCCATGAATATTCCTCGACTTGAAGTTGGAAACCACCTTAAGAGATTTCACCTTGCTACTTTTTTATTGTTGTGGTGTTTACTCTTTATAATTCTCCTTTATTGTTATCATTACTACCAGTATTTGAGAATAACATGCATATGAGGCTGACCTTTTCTCCTCCTGTGTCTTTCTGCAGGTCCTGCTGTCTCTGGGTGCGTCTCCAGACTATAAGGACCGAAGAGGGTTGACTCCGCTCTACCACACTGTGCTGACAGGGGGAGATACCTCCTGCTGCGAAACACTCCTTTACCACCGTGGCAAGCTGGGCATCAGGGATGAGAACGGCTGGGACGAGACACATCAGGTATGTGTGCTTTATTTGGGTCAAGTAAGATTTCAAGGGAATCCTCAGCGGGTCTTTAAAGGGCATTTGATTAGATTTTGGGAAAAAAATTAATCAGATATGGATCTGAATATAGAAAGTAATTCATTTCTTTCTTTCTTGTATTATCTCCCATGTGCTGTTTATACAGTTAATTCTATACTAAATCAACAGCAAAGCGTTTGTTAGAGAGTGCTTGGGGCTAAATCTTCCAGTCTAATGGGGTCAGTGGCCTAATTTCTGTCTATTTGGGGGTTATGATATAAAATCACTGGAAAAAAGTCCTTCCTTAGGGTGTTTGGGGTTTTAGTTTCTGTTTATTGTATTGCACACGTGTGCATGCCTCCTGTAATGTACCAGTGTACTCTGTGTTCCAGTGTCTGCGTATGTACATCATCTGTGTCTACGTCAAAAACCATTCATGCCATGAAACACTACACCTCTCATCTTTTATCTCAGACACCTTTCGCCCTTCATCCCACCCATCCTGCTTCTGTGGCTTCATAAACCAGCAGTGAAGTGGACAGAAAAATAAAGGTATTAGCCTCTTCGTCTCAGTGGGATCACCCACACGTCATCAGCATCTGTCGCTTCAGCTCTGCTATCCACTCGTGGCCTTCATCTTGTACTGTCTGTGTGTGTTGAGTTATGTTATGACTATGTTTTTTAATTTTTTAGATTGAAACTCATTATATCCCCAAAATGCCCCACAAATTAATTTACAATTAATTTACATCCATTGTGAAGTTGTTGACCTAAAATTTGCTCAGTGACCTGATATGTGATTGTAATAGAGAGCTGCAGAAATCAGCATTTAATGTGGCCATGGGATAAATGACAATAACATAAATCACCTATGATTCAATAAAAACCATTAGTAGTTTTGATTTTCCCTGTATGATGTTACTGTATGTACATTTCACTATAATGATAATTCTTGTTGTTTTAACTAAGATTATTGTTATTATTGGATCCCACTTTGTTCTCTCGCTCTCTGAGTTTGAAGGTGGTGTTAATTAAATACAGTGCCAATTTATAATTGTCACCATGTTCCTCTCTCTGTCACTGTCTCTTCTTCATCCTTGTTTGCTTCTCCACCTCTCTCTCTTTATTAAACCATGTAAATCCTTTATTCTTTGGTTCATCCTGTTTTTTTTTTTTACCTCCTTTTCAAAATCTTCCTGCTGTCTCTCTCCCTCGTTCCATCACTCCTACATGCTCACTCAGGCCTGTCAGAATGGTAACTCGCAACATCTGGAGCACCTCCTCTTCTATGGGGCGGATTCTTCCTCCCAGAATGCATCTGGAAACACTGCCTTGCACATCTGTGCTTTATACAACAAGGTAGACTCACTTTACAGTAGGGAAAATGTTACGATAAAACATGTAAATTCTTTGAACATACGGTATAACAAAGTGAAAACCACATAAATACTCTTTACCTTTGCTAAAGAAATTTTAGGTTCAGCCTGAATGCAAAACCGATTCAATTAGAGTAATTTGAAAAACATATAAACCTAAATCTGTATATGAATTTTACTTTGACTTGTATGAATAATATACTTTAAACATTATGTCAACAAACAGGTTTAAATTTGGCAAACTAGTTATTTCTGCCAAAGAGCTTCCATTCTTTTACATAACCTTCTTGGATTTTCACCCCACTTTGCTTTAGGAGCATGTTTCATAGAGTATTTGGTAAGAGTTTTTTAACAACTGTTTAATTTTGTCTGTAGATAAAATTATCAAGGTGTGACAATCCATGAACATACCCTAACCAAGATGTTATTTGTGCCCAAACCTAACCAAACCTAGAAAATGATGTTATCTGTGAAACAGATAAATTGGTAAATCTCAACTAATACGCTGATGAAATGTTACAAATGCTCTATGAACTATCTGTAGCAGAAATTATACAATTTAAATTTTACAATTAATGTACATTAGTCAACACTGTTTGTTGCAGGAAAGCTGTGCACGAATTCTTCTCTACCGGGGAGCAAATAAAGACACAAAGAATAACAGTGGTCAGACACCCTTTCAGGTAATGGCTGTGCCTGGCTGGGTAATTATGCATGTTGGGTGGTTGTATGGTTTAGTGTCTTATTAAGTTAACGTAGCAGAAAGTGCCAAGCCCTAATTTCACTTTAAACCATTATTGTGCTGCGATGCACACAGAGGTCCCAGGTGGCAGGATTGCATGTGACCCCTTAATCTGGATACATTAACTCTGTCAGTGCAGAAAAAGCCAGCTGGGGCAATCTGTTGCGTTTGTGCGTCTGTGTGAGAGAGAGAGAAAACAAGAGAGGAGACAACAGGGAGAAAGCATTGAAATGTGTCTGATTGTGTGCTGACCTGTATAATTTGTAAAACAAAAGGTTAAAAAGCATTTGGGTTATGGTTGAAAGAATACGAAACTATGTTCTCACGTGAGAGCGCTCCTATGTTTTTTTTTTTTTTTTCAAGAAAACAACAAATTAATTATCCCCTGACATTGTAGTTGTAGATATCCTTGTTTGTTTCACCCTTTCATTTTGTGTATTTATTTGCCAAAAAGATTGTATGTGTGTGTGTGTGTCTATGTGTGTTTTTATCAGGTGGCTGTTATGTCCGGCCATTTTGAGCTGGGAGAAATTATCAAAAACCACAGGGATACAGATGTGGGTGAGTAGCTGAGGTCTGGTCTGAATGTTTTATGCCGGTTTGGAGATATGTAATGTCCTTTAATGTAAGACATTTTACTAATCTGAAATGATGCATTGGCTCTTCAGGGTGGAAATTAGGCCATGAATTAAAAAAAAAAGGAAGAAGCAGTGAAAAAATAGAATATAGTACAAAGGAAAATTCGCATGTTGGAATATTAATTATGAAGAAAAACTTTACATTATGGTCTTTTTTTTTGTCTCTCACTCTTTACTGTCTCCCCTCACCTCCCAGTTCCCTTTGTGGAGTCTCCGAAGTACGCGCCTCAGAGGCGGGAGAGTGCCCGGACGCTGACAATACCCCACCCTCATCCCTTCCTTCGTGCCAACAGTGATAGCAGCATGAACTTGCCAGATTGGATGGCAGTGCCCAATGCCCCGGGGACCAACATCGTCTCTGTGCAGGTGTGTGTGTTTGCAAAAGATGAGGATCAAACAGTAGTTGACAGACCTCACCTCAAGGTCCAATTAGTAGCTGTTCTGGAGCTTTTGACCTCTCTAAAGAATTCAGAGTTGCTCCTCTCTGAACACTAACACACTTTACTGATGTATTACAAAATAACTTGCGTAATGCCATAGATACTATCTCTACTAACTGATTTGCAAGTACAAAGTGCTCCTGAATATTATTGACTCCTTCTGAAGTAATCTAAGGAGATATTGAATGTATGTTAATAATTTCAGTATGCTGCAAAACACACACCAGAGATTTCTTAGTGCACAGATCATCATTATCTGGTATTGTTTAAGTAATGTTTTTAAATGCTAAATACATTTAATACATAAACAATCAGTCACTTAACAACATGAAGTAATACTGTATTCAATTGTATTAAACACATGGAAGCAAAACAAAGGACACAATAGCAAGTAGCAGACACATAACAAGCCTAATTGGGAGGTTTTATCCACTTAGTAATAGTCCACTGTAAGTTTGTTATTTTCTTGGACAGAAATGGTGTTTGGTGCTTCTAAATATGCTTGCTTTCTGATGTCTGTTTAATTGTAGATTTTGATTCTTCCAATAAAAGAAGAGCTAAGGGTAGATCAGTACTTTTCTTTAAAACTGACAGCCTGGAGAAATAGTTAATGCCCAGATAATGACTGTTTCCACTGCACAGGTGGAGGCCTGAGCAGCTGCATCCCAACAATTCAGAAACAGAAATTTGAAGGGACATTATACTACATATTGGATGACCTTTGCCAACCTCTAGTGGTTAACACTATTAACTGCAGCAACTTCCATCTCCCTTTCTCGCATAAGCTGTCCATGTACATGTTTTTTTATTTTTTATTTACTATGTAGAGGAAAATAAGTCATGAAGTCACAAGCTTTTGCCCTTGAGTGACTGCCCATACACATGCGACATCATGAAATAAAATTACATAATTTATGAGACATGTACATTTTATTATATTTATAATTTTATGAATGTTTAGGTTATCGTCTGTAAACATTATGTGCTCTTAAAAGCAAATCAATGGCAAGAGAGTAGTCAGAGAAAGTTGTCATAGTGGCAGAGAAGAAGAGCCAGTAGTTAATAAATGATTAGAAAAATGCACTGAAGTTAGTATTACTAGTAACCAAAATGAATGTATTATATAAAATTTAAAGAAAAAGAACAAACACAGCATCCAAAATAAACAATTCCTGTAATCACAACATTGCAGGTTATTTTGGTCCAATGTGTACATGTACACAATATGGTAGAAAGACTGTACACATTGTGCAAGTAGAGTTATACTATTTACATAAATATGTCCTTGTACAATTTTTCAATATTATAATGGTAATGCTAAATCATAAACTGAATATTGTATGTACCTTTACATATAACCATCTTGAATGAAACAACACCTTTCTCCCTCTCTGTCTCTCACAGGGCTATAAGCATACAGGAACCCTGCGGAGCTCCAGCAGTCCCAGAGGGGCGAGGACGCGTTCCCCGTCCCGAGGGAGGATTGGAGACAAGGAGGACCGGAGCAGGCAGAGTCGGAGACAGGGGTGAGTGGCAAAGGCTGAACCAGAAGAACCTCTCTTCCACTTCTCTAAGTGCATAATACTGTAGGTTCATCTAGGACGGTTAAGTTACATTTGAGACTTTCTACTAGATGTCTGAAGGTCCTAAAATAGTCCTTAACGTGAATGTGAATTACCTGAGTCAAGGTGCTAAAAGGATTTACAAAAGTGGTTAAATGGTTTTTGAAAATAAAAGTTTCTGTGGTGCAATAGTTAATTTCTCTGGAACAAATGGTTTTGTAGGGTTAGGTAGAGTTCTCTGAAGATCTGTAATAAGAATGATTAAATTTCTTAAAATAAGTTGTATTATTACTTAAGGAGAATTCAATATGTTAAGTGAATGTACAGTGTGACCAAATAGAGAACCCTGGACTGTTTAGGCAAATTTTCTCACAAACCGGCTGACAAAGTCTTAAAAATACTCAGATTTCTTTCTCTCAAACAAAGTAAGTATTGCATTTAGTAATTTAGTGACCTATACATAGGAGGCTATGAGTTTTTAACTGCAGTCTCCAATCATCCGCCCCACCTTCTGCTCCCTCCCATCCAGGCCTGCTCCAGCCAGCACAGTTGGGCAAACCGCTGGCCAGCGAAGACGCCTCTACAGCGCTGTCCCAGGACGAGTCTTTGTAGCTACTCGAGCGCACTCTGCCCAGGGAGAGCGAGAAATCAGCTTTAATAAGGGAGACAGGGTCAAAGGTGAGTATATTTCATTTGTCTTTCATGTGAATTCAAAACGTCTGTCTTGTTGGGAGTCACTGTTTGTGATGCTGTTTACACCTGGTACTAACATGACTGCAATGAAACTGTGATGTTCTCCTCTTTCAGGCCACCTCCAGAGGTGTGTGAAGGGCATTTTCCCCTTTAAAAAGAACATGTAAATGAAATAAATCTCCACATGTATCAGAAAGGCAACTCTGACATCCACACACTTGTAAAAATGAAATGAAGGCACATTCAGAAACTGGCAAAACAACATTTAAAAGATATGAATGTAACAGGAGGTTACATGTACAGTAGTCCCTCTCTGTTTGGGGCGCTGGCATAGCCCCAAATTATTCAGTATAATATGTAAGCTGCTGACTGCAGGGGTTTAATCATTCCAGAGTTGTGATTTAATTAGCAGCTTTTAAGCTAACACCATTTAGCTAACTGATGAAGTATTTTGGACATGATCTGAGATGCTGCATCACAAGAATATTAAGTTTATCTGCCTGACATTAGCTAATATTACACTGGCGAACAACACCATTGCTAATACTATCATCCAAAACAAACCGTTACACCATTGGTTTATTATGGTGTTTTGGCTAACATTGACATTAACATTATCGAACAAATGCCTACTTTCACATCTTGCAGACACAGGGCGCAGGATGCCACACGATCATCCCATTGATGTTTTATTTATAGCCACCTGACTAATGTAAGTCCAACATTACATTCACTCTTTTTTTAAGCTCTGGTAGGCCTACAGATTTTCTGTGTTTGTTTTCCGCCTACAAGTTATATGAAAACATGGCTGGTGACAAGTTCAACCATTCAGACCAAGTTTGGACTGTAAAACCAAAGCAATAAATAAGCTGTGTTGGGCTACAGAATTGTTACTAGCGAACATAGTGATATGATAGTAAACTATCATGTTAACAAAGCTTGGAGATGTTGAGCATTCCCACCAAAACTGCAGATGGATGGACTTCTAGCCTACAAAGCTTTACACAACCCCTCATCAAACCACAACCTGTTGTTTTCACACTTTGGTTATTGTACAGATTAAACAATCACTATCAATAATAATCAATAATATAATAATAATAATGTCAATCAATAAGCTTTAGAGGTGCTGTAATATACATTTTGTACATTTTGACATTGTAATGACTGACAGCTGTTTACACTGCTGTCAGTCATTACAACAGACACATATGACTCAAAGCAAAAAATTCCCTAAATATCTAAACTATTGCTTTAAGAATCTTTTGAAGCAGTGAGTTGACTAACATTGTTAAACAACCCCAACAATATACTTAAAAAAGACAAATGACTCAAGTCTGGCAGGAGATGCATGTTAACACCAGGTGTAAAAGGGATCTTTCGGTCTTAGAGACAGATCAGTACCCAGGCCAGGATCTAGAGTGTCTTCAGATCAGTTTGTAAAATGGCCATGTCCTAACATGTGTGTAAGGTCTCTATATATGTTTGTATTCAATGTCTGCAGGTATGAATATGTGTGTGTTTGTGAGTGAGTCTAAGGTGTTGCCAGGTATGTATGTCTTGGTGAGTATGTAGGAGGTTTGCATGTCTGTGTGTGGGTCTACATGATTTGTTTTCTGTCAGTATAATGTTGTTGTCTTTTTGCGTGTGTTAATTTCTCATTAGTGTGTGTGTGTTGGAGCATGTGTTGTGTTGCCTTTTCCTGACATGCTGCTCTTTCCTGCTCCCCCCCTCTAGTGTTGAGTGTTGGCGAAGGCGGATACTGGGAGGGGACGGTCAGGGGTCGCACAGGTTGGTTCCCCTCTGACTGTGTAGAGGAAGTGATGCTTCGAAGCCAAGACAACCGATCAGGTGAGCACCACCAGTTACACAAACTCAGCAGGCTCATCCTGAAAAACATCCAGCATCACTTCAATAGGAAAAAACACACCTTTTAGCAATGAGTTTCACACCTCCCCTCCTATGCATTAAAACAAAATTAATCTCTCACAAAAGTCTGATGAGGAGTTATGATGCTAGTTTCGGTGTTTTGTAACCTTGCAGATTGGAAACAATAAGCTATGTTAATATATAAAGTATTAGTTTTGGGAAATACCCTTATTATGGGGGTTATGAAGTGGACTATTTCTTGGCTGGACGCAGTAACCTCTTAAAATCTCTGCTGGTTGCCTGGACACCTCATGGTGATGACAAACTTCAGGAAGTTGCTGCTCTGTGCCAAGAAATAGTTCAGCACACAACCCCCTGCAGAATGATAATGTGCCCTTTTAACACCCCAGTTTTTTTATCCGATTAAAAAAGAAAGTTATACCTTGTCATTAGTGCGCTTTAGTCCTGGTAGGCCGATTTTTCCACCTTTGGACAGAAACAAACTAGCTGTTTCTCCCGGTTTCCAGTATTCATATTTACCGTGCAGACACAAGAGTGGTACCAATCTTCTTTTTTTGTGTGACCAACAGTCCCAAAACCCAAAGCTGACATAAAGGAAAGAAAATCCGCTAAATTCTTACATTTGAGAAGCTGAAACTAAGTAATATTTAGAATTTTATTTAACATTTACATTTTCTCATTTGGGGTGGCGCGGTGGTGCAGTGGTTAGCACTGTCGCTGCACAGCACCGGTTGCCCCGGCTTTTCTGTGTGGAGTTTGCATGTTGTCCGCGTGGGTTCTCTCCGGGTGCTACGGCTTCCTCCCACGCAGGCTAGGTTAATTGGTGTCTCCAAAATTGTCCTTAGGTGTGGATGTGAGTATGAGTGGTTGTTTGTCTATGTGTGGCCCTGCGATGGACTGGCAACCTGTCCAGGGTGTATCCCGCCTTTCGCCCAATGTAAGCTGGGATTGATGACCCACGTTCACAGGATAAGCATTTGACGATGGATGGATTTACTCATTTGGCAGACACTTTTATCCAAAGCAACTTCCATTTGAGGAACAACATACATACATCAACAGAGCATCAATACAGCAAGAGATCTACAAGTGACAATACATAGTAGTAAGAGCAGCAATAAATATGAGTAAGAGCTATTAGAACATATGGCAAAATAGGTAATTACCTAGGGAAAGAAGTAAGAGTTAACGAAATAGTGCAATACAAGATAATTGTAAGGGGAGAGAAGAAGAGCACAGGAAGTGCATGTTAGAGGTGTTAAAAGAAGAAGTGTTCTCGGAAGAGATGAGTATTCAAGAGCTTCCTGAAGTAAGAGAGGGATGCCCCTGCTCTGATGGCGTGTGGTAGCTTGTTCCACCATCGTGGTGTCACAGATGAGATTGGCCTGTGTGTAGGGATGGCAGAACCAGGTGGCGTTCGTTGGAGGAGCGCATTGGCCGAGAAGGAACGTAAGCTTGTATTGTTGAGTTTAGGTAGATGGGTGCAGACCCAGTAGTCACTCTGTATGCAAGCATTAGTGACTTGAATTTAATTTAGGTGGCCAGTGGAGGTCGCTGAGTAATGGAGTGACATCAACAAATGTCTTAAGCCATTAAAACAATTGGTTATCAAGATTTTTTGATTTTCTGTCAGTTTACTAATTGTTTCCACACAAATATACATATTAATTTTTGGTTTAGTTTGCAGGTCTGCTGTCAGCTGATAAAAGTGATATTTTCCTGTGATGTTAATATTTTATTGTAAAAGTAATACAATAACTGAACAGTAGCTGAATAGATTTAATGCAGGTGCGATTATGCTTATGTCCCTGTGATTTTATGTTTCAGAGAGCCGCGGAGAACGAGCCAAAAGGCTGTTCCGCCATTACACTGTGGGATCCTATGACAGCTTTGAAGCTCCCAGGTAAGAGTTTCAAGTTTTATTCAAAGAAGCACAGGAGGGGCAAAAATTAATAAAGAGCCCTGCTTCAGCTCACACGGATTGTGGTGGGGTTCATTTAGGGTAAGGTTACACCAGAGTGGCAATTCACCTACCAGAGGGGCATTTGAGCTGAACACAACGGCACTTCGGGGCACTTGGGCTGACAGCAGAAGCATTTAGATGCTTCAGTGCCTGTTTGGTGTGACATTAGGACCAGAATGAAGCATGAAAGTATCCCATTAGGCCAAACTCACATGCTGGTTAAATAAAGGTTAAGAGATGGGCAGTTTGACATTCAGATCATTATTCAGATTAGAGTCGGCAAGGACTGTTTTCTACCATCGGCCACAGAACAGCTCTACAGAGGCAAGAAGGGGTTGTCTGCCTTGCTAAAGAGCATAATGTAACTTGTCCTCCATCCTCCCAAGGAGCACTGCAAATCAAATTGACAACCTATTCATTATGACCCTTCTGCTCCAGTGTTTAGACACAGCACATGTTGAGAGGGGATTTGTTTGTACGGTAGCATACTGTATACATCTATCTGGATAAGATGATTCATGTAGTGATTCATATGTTGGTACTTTGATTTGTGTGATGGGTTGTGAGTGATTCATGCGGTAGGATGACTAAGTGTGAGGGTTCACTGCCTCAGGTCTAGAAGCTGATCCTCCTGCTTTCATACTGGAGTCATCCTTAGGGCACACGTTTACCAGCCATATTCTGACTTGCTGGTTTTGCTGAATTTAGTAAGTCTCTTCCTTTTGTATGTCTGCTTGTTGGCTCTGAGGTGCAAAGTCTTGTTGCCAAGCTGCAGTTTTTAGGTGGGATGAACTTGTCAGCGATAAAGAAGGTGCTTTCAGACCACTTTGATGACTAAGTCTGAGATTTCTTTATGTTGACAGATGTTATGTAATCACCGGGTCATCATAACTGCCCTCAATGACCAAACTATCTGAACTGATGCATATTAATACTGTATCATTGGACTAACCAACCAGCAGCTGAGATCTTTAACTTTTAATAGAAGGTCATTATGCGTCTTGCCCTGATACAGACATCCACCCATTGCAACTTAATCAGTGTGGGAACATTACCAGAAAACGGTTCCTATTGAGCTTTTTGAGCATAGACCCAGAACGGAAACTTTGCTATCTCTTCTGTGGAGGAGATCCGTTGACACATGAGTGGGGAAAACTCTCCTGTATTTACTTTGGATGTGTGACTTCTCCTCGTTAACTCAGCCTAATACAATGTCATTCCCTTTAATGCCTTGCATCTGCATCGTGGCGAACACAGCGTCGCTTTGAGGCAAACTAATTTCAGCATCCGTGACTTGGACTGAGCAAAGAGAGAATTATTTACATAGAAAAAAGGCCATTATCAATCACATGTATTATTTACACGAAGTCCTGCCTTCTGCCTCTCTCTCCGTCTTTTTCCCCCTCTTTCTCACTCATCATCCTTCTTTATCATTCCTCAACCTTTTCTTTCAGGCATGCTATTTTTTTGTGGTTCATGTTTTCCTTTCTCTTTATCTCCCAGTAACTCTGTTTCTCTCTTGCACATGCACAAAGTATCATTTATTATTTAAATGCTGTTCATCAACAGTGGCATTTCATGCTAGGGTCTCACTCAGCCATGCAAACTCATGCACGTGTATTTTTACACACATGCTAACACACACATCATGGATAATTAAAGCCGTGTACTGCAGCATAGACGGAGCCCAAAAGACTGTTTGTTTGGCCAGGCAAGCATGGCTGACTCAGAGCCGCCCTCACATGGGCCTACTTTCACAGCCTTTATCACTACATGTAATATCTCACCTATCCCTCCTTTCATCCCTTTATATTTGGCCACATCTCCTGACCATCTCTGCATCCCTCCCTCGCTTTCTATTCATCACTGTATTGCTAACCCCCCTGTACTTTTTTAATTTTATTTCTATCACCCTATCTCCCCTGTGGTGTCTCCATCTGGAGGTCAGACAGTGAAGGGCACTTGGAGAGAGGGATGAAGAGCTTGGATGAAGGAACAAAGGCTTACTCTGTTTACAAATGGGTGAAAAGAGACATATGCATAGCTTTTTGTGCAAGCAACAGGGGGCCAAAACAGGTTAGAAAAAAGCGTGAAGAAGGATGCCCTCTGCAATGTTTCTTCATTCTGTCTGTAAAGACCAAAGCGAGACCAATATTAATTTTCAAGGCTCCTATGATACTGATTTTATTTAGGGATGACATTGTCGGTCAGTTTGTCCACCACTTCAGGACCAGTTTGTACAGACATTTATGGTTTCCAGACGATTAACCCTAATGGTGTTGGTGATCCCCCAACTTCTCATCTAATACCATCAGGTAAAAAAATGTATTTCTCAAATACTTAAGTTTTTAATAACATTCAGCCTTAGCTGTAGCCTAATTGTTTAGTGCACATTAACAACTGTTAGCATGCTAAAATGCTACACTAAGATGGTGAACGTGGTACCTGCTAAACATCGGCATGTAAGGATTGGTATAGTGAACATATTAGCATGCTGATGTTAGCATTTAGCTCAAATCACAGCAGAGGAAAGCCAGCGCCCACGTGCCAAAAACTGCAGTTCATTGAATGGCCACTTGAGGCTGGCTCCAAAAGCAAGACAAAATACTCGACTTGACTTTGACTTGGTATTCATGACTTGAGACTTGACTTAGACTTGAGACAGATGACTTGAAAATGACCTGATTTTTTTTTTATTAAATACTTGCATTCGCTTATTCTAACGTTTGCGGCATAATCCTGCAACCATGTGTGCTTTCACATAGAAGTCGGGATCTCCGTAACCAGCGGCGTATAAAAAGACCATTAACGTTATGTGTACAACACAGACATTCAAGGATTATGTTGTAGATATTGATGACAGTATAAAGAAAAGAACAGCGGTGTGGAAGGTCTGCAGCTCAAAAATCAGTGACACAACACCCACAACATCCAACTTCATCCGTCACTACAGAACCCATAAAGAAAGGTACGTTTGGTGACTGTGGCTTTTTAGCCAACTTATAGGCTCGTTGAACACATAGAAAGCTAGCGTTAAGTTAAAGCTACACCCAGTTGTCAGAGAAGTCCAAAACCATATATTTACTTCAAAGGGTTCAAGAACTACATTCAATTTACTTTGGATATGCCTTGAACAGGCGTTTGCATGAATTTTATTGGAATGGTAAGAGGTTAACCAACTTTACAGCAGAATAAGACATACAGCCTGGTACAAAGCCCTGGTACAAAAAACAAATGGTTTTGATCTATAATTTCCCCCTTCATGCCAACTGTGCAGGGGCTGAATTTGTATATAACTCACTCGTAAATTATATTAAGGCTTAAAGTTATGCGTAGTTAAGAGTGTGCTGCTTTGAGTGACAGGTAGATGCCCTCTCAGGTGGCTAGCGTTCCATTCGTTAGAGGAGGAATGTAAATAAGCCTGCTATTGTTACAATGGAGTTTTTTGATCAATTCCTCGCATTAGCCCAATGTCGTCTCTATTAAACAGGGACATCTTATCTGTCTGACTCTCTGACCCTCTGTCCTGCCCAGAACCTGTCATGACAGCTGAGTATATTCTGTTGCCTCGTTTTAGAGCACAAGACAAGCCATGACATAATAACAAGGCATGAAAACTGAAACCTGGCAATCAGCAAAATTAACTGCTTTAACTTGATAATATAGTGTGACAATTACATTAATAAGAACACAACGAGTGAGACATATGATGACTTGGAAAACCAGCAGTGACAAATAACAAACAAATGGAGAATTCTTATGTTAATCTGCCATGTCCCTCCACCTCAGATGTACTGTATTTAATCATCCTCCCCTCTGCTCCTTGTCCTTCAACCATCACAGACTTTTTTTCTCTTTGGATGGCTGCATTGATATTCCGCACCTTGTCTCTTTTTTAACCATATTAGAAAGGTCTTCAACTGGCAAAGTCAAGTCAGTCAGTCAGTCATAAGACATGCTCGACTATTTGGGTCTGATCAAACCTCATCAGAGTTGAAAATATTTTCATCAAATATGGTCTGTTCTGCAGTGAACAGCATCCAAATGATAAACCGAGGAAAACTATTGACTTCAACCACTGATGACCTCCTTTTCTGAAAGAAGGTCATCAGCCAATTGCCTATGGTAGCTGAAAGAGCTCATCACACTGCAACCTCAGAAAACATATGCAAATAGAAAAAAATCCCAGTAAATGAATAAAACATGTTTTTTCACTTTGACAAAGTAAGCATTTTCTGCAAATACAGAAAACACAAGTTAATACAGAAATACTGCAAGTTGTACACAACACAATGGACTCTACAAAGTGTCCACTTGTCAGTTAACAACTTTAATTTAAATTTGAACTGTTTGAAGTGTTAATCAGCTTTTGGTGACCACCAGAAACATCTGCTGTGTAACTTTATTTTGTTCTTTTGTGTATGACTTGCAGCATTGCTTTATTTGCTTTTGATTTCCTATTTGCAACATGCTACTCTATGCTGCTTATGTGTTGTCAAATTGGTGGATGTGTGCAATAATTTATTTCTATGACATATGTGATGTCAAATTGCAGTGCTTTGAACTCTCTGTGCCTCTATAATTGCCCCAGTCACAAAACTTACAGTAAATTAATTTTATTGTTCATTGGAGTGAGAACTGCATATGTGTGATGAACAACATACATACGTACTTATTAATTTATATTCACATAGTAATATAACCATTGTCTTACAGCATTTGAGAGAAATGGTTTAGCTACATTTGCAAGAAGTTTAGTTTTAAACTAGCTTACAAAAGGCTTCTCATACTGTTCTCAATAAAAGAGATGGACGCTATAAACTATTATCAGATCTCTGTGTCATTGCCACATATGTACTGAGTAACTGTACACAATCTGTACACAGCCCCCATTAGGCCATTTTTGGCCAACAGTGGGTCAAATTAGCACACACAGTTTG